ATGTTAATCACATATGGCCGAGTGACACAGTGCTCATGTTAATCACAGTATCACCATGTCAGGAACAGTTTGTGGACTTCAGGCTCCAATGACCTGCTCGATTAGTCGGTGCTGGTTAAAGTGAAAGTGTTTAACAGCTCCTCCAGGTTTCAGTCGGTGTTCAGCACGATTCAGTTATAAATAAAGTCTGTCAGGTGGGTGAGCAGGCTGGCAGAGTTGACTCAGTCCGTGTCAACACAGCGAAGACAACAGAGGAATCCGGGGAACGTCCGGCTAGCTTTAGCTTAGCCGACCAACAGCTGAGCGTTAGCATTAGCACAGTCACCGCTCGCCATCGCCGTAACGTCACTATTCTGCTGTTAATCTGTCATTTATTCATCCCTGAGGAGTTAACGGGAGATTATTTCGTTTTACCGGCAGGTTACGTGTTTGGTCCAACCTCCTGTTACTGATGAAGCCGCTGAAGACGCCGCTGCTGCCTCCGCCATTTCTGTTTATGTTGAGAAGCCACAACCGGATGTTCCGGACGAGTCCGTCACCGCTCGGCTTTTTCCGTGCGGAACGATTCAGGCCGAAGATTTCCGAACACACGTCCGACGAGCGGAGCAGCGAAACGTCAGCTGCGGCGCGGTAACGGAGGCGTGTCGCGTTTTCAGTAAATGAAGACAGGAAGTCACATTAAAGACGAAGCCTTCGGTGAAGATGTGCATACACACGTTTTACTCAAAAATTCAGAATCTCGTTACAGTCTCGTGCCATATCGCGTTCAACCTTTATTTCTACAGGTTAGTCTCGTTGAGCCTCCGGGACTCATTTACAAGAGACTCTAACAAAGAGTGATGACAACAGGGGACAACAACAGGCAATCATAAATACAAATTTATTGATTGATTCATTTTTACAATTGAAAACAAAATGATAATTAAAATAAAAAGAAACTTAGCGAAAAACCAGCTGGATTATAAGGCGGTGTGGAAACTAAAAACTGGAACATGTCTGCTTTGGTTCTTGCAGGAACTTAACAGATGTGTGAAGCCACTTAGAGGTCAAGGTCGTCAAGGTCAGCTACTACCACCAGATGTTTCAGCACAAAACCTGCACCGCTGACTGAACACGAACCTTTTTGTGTTTCTAAAGGTCGCCTGATTCCAAAAGTTAATCAGTTGTATTATAAACATCTACAAACTACTTCCTGACAGTTTTATTGTCTGCTGGTTTCTTACATATTTTGCTAACAGACATTTCGGCTGTGGGCGATAATAACTGGAACAAAAACCACAATCACTAAGTCCCAGCAGTTTAAATGGACTTCAGTGGGACGTTGTCATAAACATGAATATTTTGTGGATTATGTTGAGAATAATTTATGAAACAACTCTTAATGAAGGATGCTAATGTGTTCACAGACGGTGTCTAGTTTGACGCCATGAAGCTTTGAGGCCATGAAGCATCCAGATGTGCAGCTGTGATGTTGGCAGCCCTGTACCACGAGCACTAGAGGAGTCAGAAACAAAAGTCAGGCATTTTTTCACCGATGGGATCTTGGAGGCCTTCACATATCCATGCAGTCACTGCAGGCTCAGGACTTTGGACAGTTTACCATCCAACTTGGAGACGATGACGCAAAGTCAAACTTTTAAAATCTAACTTTCCACCTTTTTACACAAGACCAGTGTTAGCAACACTCAGGCTGGACGGCCACCTCACACTCTTTCCACTAACGCCAACATCTGAGTTTGAGTTGACAGGTGACCCACGACCTTCAGCCCAGGCGGTTTTGTGTGATCGATGGCTGCTTGGGTAAAACGCTGCATGTCTCTCACTTCTCTGCTGAGGTCCCAATGAAGCTTGGCTTGGTGGCATGGTGGATCAGTGGGTAGAGCTGCTGCCTCTCAGCAAGCTGGTGCCCTGGTCCAAATCCTGTCCAGGTGTCCCTGTGATGGACTGAGACCTGTCCAGGTGTCCCTGTGATGGACTGAGACCTGTCCAGGTGTCCCTGTGATGGACTGAAACCTGTCCAGGTGTCCCTGTGATGGACTGAGATCTGTCCAGGTGTCTCTGTGATGGACTGAGACCTGTCCAGGTGTCCCTGTGATGGACTGAGACCTGTCC